ACAATCTGACCTGCTGTGGTATACATTGTTATACTGTTAACAAACTGCCGCCAAAGCTAAAAATTTGTTCATATCAATTGAATACTGCTGTTATACTGTCAAACTGTTATAATCATGCAATTCCATTCAACTCGTTGCAGGAACAAGTCAAACTGGATGCCAGCAAACAGGTAATCAGCCCAGACGATTGTGAGGATCTCAGTCCAATGCCACAAACAGCTGCACCGCCCGTTCGCCGGCGCGGCGGCATCTCCGCCGAGCCGGTGACCGAAGAGGACGCCACCAACTATGTTAAGAAAGTCGTACCCAAGGATTACAAGACAATGAATGCCCTGTCCAAGGCCATAGCCAAAAATGTGCTCTTCGCCCATTTGGATGAGAGCGAACGCTCCGACATATTCGATGCCATGTTCCCGGTGAACCATACGGCTGGCGAGAATATCATACAGCAGGGCGACGAGGGCGACAATTTCTATGTCATCGATGTGGGCGAGGTGGAGGTGAGTAGCCATGACAATGCGAGTGGAGTAGACAGAGAGAGAGAGAGTATTAACTGTTATACATGTATTTCAGGTCTTTGTGAACTCTGAACTGGTGACCACCATCAGCGAGGGCGGCAGCTTCGGTGAGCTGGCTCTCATCTATGGCACACCACGTGCCGCCACGGTGCGCGCCAAGACCGATGTCAAGCTGTGGGGCATCGATCGCGACAGCTACAGACGCATCCTGATGGGCTCAACCATACGCAAGCGTAAGATGTACGAGGAGTTCCTGTCGCGCGTCTCCATACTGGAGAGCCTGGACAAGTGGGAGCGCCTCACCGTTGCCGATTCCCTGGAGACGTGCTCCTTTGAGGATGGCGAAACGATTGTCAAACAGGGCGCAGCCGGCGACGACTTCTACATCATACTCGAGGGCTGTGCCGTTGTCCTGCAGCAGCGCTCGGAGGTGAGTGTCCGGCGGGCATAGCCCAGTCACATATTGGCATGACCTACTAATCCATTGTTTCATTCTAGCAGGGCGAAGAGCCCGCCGAGGTGGGTCGCCTGGGCTCCAGCGATTACTTTGGCGAGATTGCCCTGCTCCTGGATCGGCCACGCGCAGCAACTGTTGTCGCTCGCGGCCCGCTCAAATGTGTCAAGCTGGACAGAGCGAGGTAAACA